GGTTCGTAGTAGCTCAGCTACAGCAAGAGATCAATTAACGGATAAGAGTTTAGGTATGTTGGTCATAGTATTAAGTATTGACATTTTTATGGGTTTATTATAGCAAACTACACTCGCCTTCTGGTAGTTTTTTTGTTGCTATGTGCGATGCATTCGTAGTCGTTATAATTTGTAGGATATATTTTTAAATGAATTTATAAAGATGTAAGGACGAACCAATGCAAACGATATCGTCATCTCCGTTTATGAGCTGGATTTAAAGATCAGGGATGTGTTTAGAAGAAAATTTGGGTCCGTTAACGACACCTTCACAAATTCGTTTCTTCGTTATTGTTTTGTTAATTGAGTAAGTCATTCCCGAAAAAACAAAGATCGTTCGAAACGAACTAAGTTTCCCTTTTTAGTTTAAATTCCAAATATAGTATTCTAAGAAAATATTTCTACTGTTGCAAACATAGTGTGCACATTCTTAATAAATGACATTTTTTTGTAATTAAATAATTGATCAATTTATATTTATTCATCAAATTAATTAAATATTATGTAAACAAAAATTTCAGGCAATTTTTTGAATAAAATTTTATAAATTTAAGAATTTAAGTTTACTTAATGCGTAACACTTTAAAGGTGATACATAACTAGGTTGTGTTATTTAAAATAGGTCAATTGGAAATATTAATGTGAGTGATTTTTTTCCCTTCCATTATTCGCTCGAAATGAATATTCTGCGTTGAGCAGTATTGTCTAAATACCAAACATTTGTAGGTCTCTAATTTAGTAGCAACAATTGTTGAGCATAATCGTGTATCTATTTACAATTTAAAAACTTCTTGAAAAGGTTTTCGGCAGTTTTTGCAATTACAGTACCCTATTTGCACACATTCACAAAAGCAGGATCCTGGTTGAAAGAATGTGACTTAAAGCTTATTTTATATTCACAAAGTATGAATAGTTTTTTCACAATTTTACGAAAACAGGACCTTTCACAAAATCTCGGTACAGACCTCTGAAGATTCCGGTTCGCTTTAAGGAAAATAATTTAGTCTACCTCAAATATTTGTTTATAATTTAAACTCAGTTTTTAAGGTGCTCGGCACTTTTCGACCGTTTAATTTTCTATCACTTAAATTCTAACTTGTCTGTTGTGTAAATCTGTGTGCCTCATGTGTTTAGTTGCAATTATGTACTGCTTGAATAGGCAGGCAATGCTGTTTTGATTTTAATAAAGGTACGAGTTGTAATTTAGTTTGTAAAATACAATAAATTGATAGCAATTTTAATGATAAGGAAATTCCAAAGTAAAATGTTTAAGAAGGACTTCTTACGCAAACTTCTAGTTTCTTACTGAATCAGTTTTTTACCCACTGATGGTTCTGCACGTAAAGTCTTATTTTAACCTGCATTCTTCTCCTCTTAGCAAAGACCAGTTTTTCCACGTAGTTAGTAAAACAGTGAATAAAAGAGTAACATTCTCTCAACTTTGCCTAACAAAAAAGTCAAATTTTAGAAAAATAGCTTAATTACAGAGCGTTTTAATCAGACTGTATAGACCTTGGAAGGGATCTTTTGGGGGCGAAAGTAACATCTCACACGCTCAAAATGTTAGAACTTTTTGATAGCAGGGAATAGTGTACAAGTATTCATCGATATAGTCTGCAATCTCAATTTGATATATTCTAAAAGAGTTAACTAGATTCTCTGCACAATATACTACGGAATTCAGGGTCGATTTGATACTAAACTTATGGAGATATATAGATTTCTAAACTGTGAACTTGATTACTATTCTTCGAAAACTTTCTTTTCAATTCGACGATTTCAATACCATATAAGTACAGATGTGCTAGACTAAAATTTCGAAATCTCTCAACAAGTGTGGAATTCGAATGGGTAGCGGTAGACGGCCGTTCTGCTACTTCTTCGAGCTCTACACTTGTTCAGCTGTTTCGAGAATTTTAGATTATTTCGTGTGCATTGCTGTACATGAAATATACTACAAGTAAGGGGTGGGGTAAACTTACAAACTGGGTGGACCTGGACATAGACACTGGTAGCATGTTCGTAAGTCGAAGAAGCCCAGCGCTTACTGTTGACTAACATATAAAAGTTCCTTTTTGTTAAATTAAGTACTATATGCTCGCAATAGAATATTTGCAATAATTTTCAAACAGCTGGAATGGCTGTGAATAAGGTTCTTTGAATCGTAAGATTTGATCCCTGAAACTCCTAGAGATTTAAAATGACTTAAAATTTAAAACTAGAAAGTTCATCGTGCTTAGAAATCTCTGATTAACTTGGACTGCTAAAATTTTTCCAACTTCCGGAAGATTAGCCGTGATGGCTGAGGGGATAGAGCGTTCGCTTTCCATTGAGGTGCAGCGGGTTCGAATCCCAACCACACTTGATCGATACGAATTTCGCTTTCGGCTTCCGCTGACCAGTTCTGACGTGAAATATCCTCAGTGGTAGACAAATCATAGGTTAATCTTCTTGCCATGACACTGACCGGGGGAGGTTCTCGTGGTCTTCCTCTCCTTTTAATGCAAATGCTGGTTGGTTTCATCAAAGAGTAGTCCACGGAGGCAAATTTTTCCCAATACTTGATTCAGGAGTTTCTTTTTCTTCTGGATAGGGTGCAAAATAAGGTTATGGAGTTGAACATAAGTAGCCTTGAACCCAAGAATTAGGTCAACGACCGTTATAATATAAGAGTGAGATCGCCAATAGTAATTGATATCCATTAATGTTTAGTTTAAAAAGTTTCACATTGCGTTTATTTGGAATGATACTAATTTAAGTTTGACGCTAATTGGTTTTTAAAAAATTTCAGATACCGCTAAAAAAATATTAGTTTCATGCCGAATGTTTAACTAGCAAAAGCTATCATACTTTCTCAATTTCTAAAAGTCTGTATTAAAGTGATAATAAAATTTTCGTAAATCTTAAAATTTTTGCGCATGTTTCAGTGGAAATAAATATTCCTTTGTGTCAAATTTATATTTTTGGACCATCATATTTTTAGTATTAGTTTTTCGACCCCTAAATTTTATAACAAAAGCAAAATTTTATAGTTTGCATTAACTTGTACATTTTAGTTGTACTATTTTAGTTGAATGCCCAACTCTATCGGAATTACTGAAATCCTAAACGTTAGTTTTTCCTAAATATCAGTAAAATTGACATCAACCTAAACTGTATATTAGTGGCGTTTTCTCTCGTTTTTTAGATATCATGTATATAATCCGTATTTAATATCAAATGTGTAATCTCTGCGTGTAGTGTAAAGTGAAATTAATACTATCAAACATGAGTACTTGGAAATATTCATTAATTTTTATATTTTTTCATAAATATAAAAATTAATGAATGTATCAAGTGTGTAATGTTTATGTATGTCGATGCAAAAATGCTATATTAGGAAAGATATATTGTATTTTGTATTTTTATTTTGAACTCTGTCATTAGTAGGGCTCATTTGCCACTAAAAGTATACATATGAAATAAATTATTAATGCAAAAATCCTGTCATTAATTCTTAAACTATAAATAGAAAGTAAACTTTAATATAGAGCTCTACTATCACTGTAAGCATTTTTAAATTGACAAATGTAGACGGGCTAAGTTTTATTTGGACTTAAAATATATTACTACTTTAAGGCTTAAAACTGAAATCGTTTTGAAAAGGGGATCCCCTTCACTTTGGATCCAATGAAGAAATCCCCTTTTTCAAAATGCAAAGTTCAGCTTTAACTCTACAAGTTATTTCAAAATTTTAAGTTTTTAAACAAATAAAATGTAAACTATAATTTAAACTTTATTTTAAGTTCATTCTATGAAAGTTAAATTATGAAAGTTAACTTTTCTTGCTCACTACAATACAAGATTTTACACAAGACTACTTTACAAGATTCAGGAGCTTTGATTTTTTTTTATTTTATTAAATGCAGTAGAGCTCTACATTAAACGAGACAAACTGTTTAACAAGGTAAATAAAGTTAATAAAGTTAAAAAAAGTTTAAATATCAGATGGTTTAAAACTTAAAATATTTATTAATCACCTGATTTTTGTTTCTTAAAGTTGAAATGTTATAATGAAGAAAAAAGTAGATCATGATTTTGTTTACTGAATTTTTTCGCGAAACAAATTAGTGGCAAATGTTTATAATGTATAATTGTAATACACTAGTGTTTGAAACTTTTTACTGTAATTGAAAGAAATTGTACTATGGTGTATATATACAATGTTCAATAAATGTATTTTGGTTATAGAAATCTTGCGTTGGAACAATTTTTCTTAAAATATAAGACAAATTTAAAAATCTAACTGGTGTATTCATATTTAGTATAAATAAAACTGTTTTAGTTATGAATTTTCGATTTTGTGTTTTTTTTTAAGACAAAGGATTAAGGAATGTGGCTAAAGAAGCTCCTGTACTTAATACTCTCTCTAAAAATACAATTTTTTTTGAGGTTTCTGTAAAACTCTGCTCTCAGATGAAAATAGTTTATGCAAATTTGAAATAAATGTAATATGTTGTGAAACTCTATGTTTGGCAAAAAATTGTGAGGACAACTTTAATAATGAATATAAAGGAATACAAGAAATTCTGGATGTAAGACTTAAGCTCTTTCAAAACATTTTTGTTCTAAATCATTTAAGCTTATCTGTTTAATGTGGTTCTAAACTGTCTGAAATTTGAGATTTTTCCCTTAAATGAACTTTTCTGATTCAGTCGAAATTGGTATAATTAAGTTTGTTTTTTTCAAAAAGTAAATTTGTATAATTAAAAGTCAAGCAAAGTTTTGGTTCCTCATCTCAGGTCTTTGGCTCCTCTCCTTTTAGCTACATTATTAGGTAAATTTTTCCGTGATACTACTCAAAAATGGAGCAAAATTATAATACGTTTTAAAAGAAATAAGTGAAAAAAAAATATTTTTTGAAACGTTAGCCATTGAATGTGATCCTTTATTTATTATTCAGTGTCCTTGAAATAAATGTTATTTTGAAGAACTCTCTGCTACCGACCTTCTACTGATGCAATCTATTATATAAGAAATATGTGACTTGAAAAAGTTCGTAGTTTTTCTCTCCTCCGATAAAACCAGTCTTCGTTCAACCCTCATTCATCTCTCGGTAAGTTTCACATACTAAGTTTTTTTTTACCCCCTTTCTAGTAATCCTATTTACTAAACACTGCTCCTATAAATATATATACAGTACCTGGCCCTATTAGACCCACTCTAAGATTCTATGTAAAATTATAATTAACAGGTGATACGGTTTTACTGTTCTTGCGCGACTGTTTGTAGTTGTTCTTGTATCAATGGTTTAACACTGTCATGAAATACGCTAAACATAAATACAAATAGGAAGTATATAAAAAAATCTCCCGAACTAAAACCCATTACATCAGGGGTGTCAACCAAAAAACCAATTTGGGCCAAATAAACAATGCTTAACTTCAGGTGGGCCGCAAAAAAAAAGTAAATGAATAAATCAATGTTCATAGAAACAAATATTTTTATTTTGAATAATACATTGTAATAAACATATGTAAAGTTAAATTATTGTATGATACTTGACATATTTTCTCTGCTATTATCTTGCCTATTTCGGGAGAAATTTTATTGGCAGAGTCTACGACCCAACGTTAGCGTTATTAATACGGTTTCCAACAGATTTATTTCCATTCATAACAGAAAATAATTGCTCGCACTGATAAGTACTTCCAAAGACGGAAATAATTTCATATGCGAATTTTCGAGTATTTTCAAACCTTGCCGGTAAATATTTGTAAAATTCAGGCATACCCACTTCAATGAATTTTGCCTTCAAATTTGAGTCTCATTGAATCTCAATCTTTTTCATTTGCATATTACTGGGTACTGAGTCTATATTTATTGAGAAAATCGACTAAAACAAACGAAATTTGTCTTCCAAAGAATTAAAATCTTTAAACCTTGTTTTACATTCTGCTCTAAGATTTGAAATTTTTTCTGCGTATTTTTGATACGATGCAGTATCCCTGGAAGGGCAGGTGCCGCAAGTCAATTACAATTTTACATTTTCGAGCGTACAATTTAAAATGATCCGTATAGTTTATAAATAAAGTATATTACAATTTCATATGCTTGTTTTCTTTCTAATTTACATTTCTATTTTATTTTTACTTTGCGTCGGATATACTGACTGGGCCGCAAAAATGTTCATCTCTGGCCGCATGTGGCCCGCGGGCCGCGAGTTTGACACCCCTGCATTACATGCATGTTTATATATAAAAGTAATGCATCTTGCAAAACACGTTATTATTGAAAAAACCACAGGTTGTCTAATATTTTTCTCTAATTATTATAATGCACTAATATAATACCTGATATCATAAGTAATCTATATTTATATAATACATTTAACCCCTTGAACGTAAACAAGTACAGACCGATTTCAGTTACGTAATAACAATAAAGTTGTATAGTGTCATCTCATAATTAATATTTTAAATAGAATCTCACCACACTCGCTCCACTCACCGACCCCCCACTACTACTTCTCATTCATTTTGGGGTTTCTTGACGATAACAGCAGATTGTTTACATTAAAAGTATTATTCTATTTTTAATAATATCTGTCATATTTCATTAATAATACTCCTATTTCAATCAAGTTTTAGGAATTCGTTAATGGTAAAGTATTTACACTTATTGTACACTACTGTAAAGAAGTTTATTTAAAGAAATTAGACAATAAAAGCTCCATTATGTTATTGTAAATGATATCCCAAACCTCTCCACTTCACGCTCTATTCTTTTGATTGGTAAATGAATTTTTTCTATACATTTTTGGTTCAATTGAATGAGATCAATCCCGAAACTAAAAGTTGCGAAGTTATAACGGTTTTACGTACAAAAAAAAATAGCAGACTTTCAGCAGAATAGCAGAATGAATCGATTTGCACTTTTACAGACGCAATGAATCGATTACAGCCAGAATGAATCAATTTGCACAGGTGTTTTTTAAGGGACATATTTCATTGAAAAGAAAATAAACTTATTTTATAATGACTTTGCATTCTTCTAGAATAGTGATTCTCAACCTTTTTTTTTTCGTTGCGGCACACTTTTAACGATTTCGAAATTTGACGGCACATAATTAAAAAAATTAGATTTAAAGTAGTTTAATTACCTATTTTACACTATGTTAAATAGTTTGTGATAATAATTTTGAATGTGAACTAAAATAATATGTACTACAAAAGCAAATTTATTAAGGGATTAATTATTTCTTTCCACCAATTTTTTATTAGTTAGTAACAGTTATTTATTTTTTGCTAGTTATTAATTGTTAGCTTGCTTTCTATAGTAATTAACTGTTAGTTTTTTTTGCATTAACTGTTATTCTTTTGTGAATTCTTGTTAACTAGTTCTTTTGCTAATTATTAATTGTTAGCTTAATTCTTGTAAGTTATCCTTTGTTAATTTGCTTATTAATTGCACAGCTTACTTTAGTGATTAGCTCTTATAACATTTTTTTAAAATTGTGTGTCATATATAATTTAAACACTTCCATCTTATTTTATTATTGTCAGAGACGAGACAAAAATGTTCACGTGGTTAAAGCGTGGAAAAATTACAAGAAGTATATATGTATATACATATATATAAATTTTTCTTTAATTTAAACTTTACTCATCATAAAAAAAAGCATTATAATTTTTATTGTATCATTTCTAATACTTGGTGGCACATTTTAAGAATTTGGCGGCACACAAAAGTGCCGCGGCACAGTGGTTGAGAATCACTGTTCTAGAAGATTGTTCCAATTTGAAATGGATTTGAAGTACATTGTTTTTATTGGCTGAAATGACGAAAGAAATTAATTTAACTACTTTCTAATTAAACTTTACAAAATCAAGAACTGATTTGTTTGGAATTTTAATCGTAAGATTTCAAATTATTTAGTTAATGCAATAATTTTATGTAGTTTTTTTTTTTTTTTTGATTAATAGTTTTCTAACCGTCGTTGAACTGCCAACCCAAATTTTGGGTTTACGACTATCAATGTTCAATTTCGTGGTTTTGTCCCAATGCAGAAGACAAGAAAATTCCTGAATCAAGTATTGATAGAAATGTGCCTTCGTGGAGGGATTTTTGATGGAACTCACCCGTATTTGAGTTACGTGGAGAGGAAAACCACGAAAACCTCCCATGTTTATCCTGACAGCAAGGGGACTCTAACCCATGATCCGTCCACCACTGATGATATTTTACGTCAGTATTGTGGTCGGTGCGAGCCGGGTGCGGAATTCGTATCGACATGAAATCGCTGGGTTTCGAGCCCGGTTCACCTCATTGGACCATTGACATCGACATCGACATCGAGGACATCGGTTCCTCGGACCATTGCGACTCTCTGAATAAGAGTTTAAAAAAAAATGGGAGAAAAATTATAATTTTTATAGTTTCCTACTGACAACTGAAAGAAAGAAAACATCATTGAAGTGAAATTTTGTTGATTCAAAAAACAATAGAGAAGTAAGTTATTAGTGAATTTGCTCTTTAAAAAAAAATAGTGAGTGGAGTCCCTCCGCGCGGAAGAAGTTAAACTTCGCAACCTGCGACGTTAATTGTAGAAGAATCAGCAGTCGTGGAAGGATCACTAGTTCTATTCAACGACTCTTTTTCCTGCTCCGCTCGCTTCCGTGCTCTATAATAACGGTAATTATGTGCATTTTTCCCTCTTGAACCAGTGGAAGGGCTTGTGGTTGCCTCATCGTTTCGCCATGGAAAATGTATTTGTATTGATAATGTATGTGAATGCGTCATAATGTAATTTCAGAAGAGAAAACCTAACAATCAATTGATATTCACAAGAGACGTACCTTGACATAATCTTAAACCCGTCGCATTGTCCGTGGGATTGTTTTCACTCATTTTTTACTATTGTTATCCACTAAATTTGAAAATAAAAAAATACTACCCTATTAAATTATACTAGGAGGCTCCTGCCCCCTGCTCGCTAACCCCTGAGAATTGCTACGCAATCCTATGTGGTTCACGCCGTGAACCATGGCTCGCTGCGCTCGCTCGGCAATGAACACAATGTTCTAGCACAAAGACATAGTATATTATCATCAAAGACATAGTATTTTATCATCAAAGACATAGTATTGTACTTATGTAGAAGAATTCTACCAATGTTCTTATTGGCTTTTAAAAAAGTATATTAGCTATTTAGATTGTACATGGTGAAAAAATCAAAACATTAGCTAAATAAGAAACATATTAGCAAAATAAATTATCAAATATTGCTTCACTAATATTCTGCATTTTAAAGCGTGAAAATTCAATGCATAAATAAACGCGAAATATAAAAAAATTCAATGCATTCAATACAAACACTTAAACGTTTTTTAGACGTTTAGGTAGCTCCCAGTAGAAAAATATCAATTCAACAGCGGCCTTTTAAAGCATTCTCACTTCAATTAATTAATTAATTCCTAATTGAGTTTAAATTAAATATTGTCATGTTTTTAGTGCATGAATCTGAATTGAACAACCTGACAATGCTCACTCTGGTTATTGTTTCCGTTTTTAAAAGCGCTATATGTTGAGCCACCTCATGTGACATTTGCCATGTGACATTTATAGCAGCAATCATTGGTCAATTTTCTAACGTTGCCATTCGGGGAGTTGTAATGAGGCTTTTTTTTTGGTGCCGTGTAAGAGAAATATATATATAGATGTGTATCAAAACAAACTAAAAAAATATTTACAGAAAAACAATACTTTTATTATTTTTATGCTGGTGAGAACCAAAATAATGTGGAAATGAATGAGGGAAAACTGGATCCTACCACGTGATTTTCCGGCCAATAAAAATGTAGCGCTAAACGTTTAACGCAACCTTGTTGGAAGTCGCATAAGAAGTATAACTTCAATAAGGATATTAATTCAAAAACACATTTACTGTAAGTGAGAATAAAAAATAATTTTCTAACTCAATTTTACTTGGATGGCAAACCATGATGATTTTTATAATAAAATACTTTGTTTTATCACTTTATGCATTGGGACATCCTTTAAAAAAAATTTTCAAATAGGAGGACGTTAAATAAATTGCTTGAGTTCAATGACTACCAAATTTATGGATTATAATTCTTTTTTTTTTCAAATATTTATTAATAAGTTTTTTTAAAAAGTACAGCAGATTCCGTAGGAGAGACATCAAATGAAATACACCGAAAAACAATCTCCTTCAATATAGCGGGTATAGATAGTGGTACAAAACTTGGTCGAGGCATACAGAAGAGGTCATTTATAACAACACAACAAAAAAAATTTGTTTTTTAAATTTTTTTCTATCATCAATGTACTAATTATAAGACAAGCATAATAATGAATTAATCTTTAAAATTTAGTTTTAATAAAAACGTATTACTAATTCCATTTTAAATATATTATTGAAAATTGATATAATAAAAATAAAGCATTAAAATTAACAAAATAGTATGATAATAGTATAATAAAATGCTATAAATAACCCAAAATATAAGTTAAGGTGATAATCTGCGTGTTATCAAAAAACCAAAATGATTGAGAAGTTTGAAATGAGTAAGAAATTTTGAGGAGTCGCTGAGCGAAGCGAGCAGGTGACCTATATTGCTCCATATAATATATAATTATTATAAAGAAACTATGTACAAAATATCCAAAATAGTCATTTCTTTAATAGATATCATTAGAAATCATCACAAATTTATACTTTTACAGTTGTCTGACATCACGCTCTTTTTTCTTCCAATTCTTACTATTAGTTCACATTCTCCCTACATATCTTGTTCAAAATTCAAGTTCAAATACATTTTTTTTACTTATAGTAGATGACATTTGATGTTAATGCAGATTTTTCAAATATTAATTCATCAGTTAAATTTAATTTAATTAATTAATTTTAGTTTTGTATGAGAGACATTTTCTTAAATTATTTAATTAAAAGTAAACTAAAATAAAAATTTTCTTTGTTGCCCTAAGAATTAATTGACTTTAATTTTTGTAGTGTATTGTGGTACTTGATTCCGCTGCTTTTATTCTGCAATTTTTACGTCTTCGCGAATTGCATATAAACTTAAATCGATATTTCCGATAAAATATTTGCATAAATAACCGGTAGGGTCAAAAATAAAGTATATATTGAAATTTTCACACGCGTCGAGCATATGTCGGGAAAATATAAGCTACAGTATAAAACCACTCTGTATTAAAAGAATATTAAAGAACAAGTTTTGTTATGCCATCATCAGCGTGACCTCGAAATACTATGTATTCAAGGCTGAAGAACGAGTCTACCTTTTCTTTTTTCTACTTTACTCATTCTTTCAGACGATATTATAATATCATGCATGAATTTAAATAATATAACGAAATCGGTTTAGTTAAAAAAAGAAACCTCTCGAGAAAATTTGCATGGAAGTTTGAGATTTTTACATTTATTTAAGAAATTGTTGTAAAATTTATAGTTTGCACGATGAAAAAAAATTTCATCGGAACTTTTTATTAAAAATAAAGTAATGCATACAATTTTTTTGAAAACCATTCACTTCATTTTATATATATATATGAGTAAATGTGAGGAAAATGTATAAATTTAGAGAAAATATATCTTTTATATATTAGGAAAAATTCTGAAATTGCTTTTCTATTTCATGATCTTAAAAACGTTCTCATTTTATAAATGAAATTAATATAGAGTAAAAAGCGCATTTTCTTCCATTTAGAAATCTTTTTAATAATTTTCAATGATATCGCACTATTTTTCAATATTATTTACACCAACCCTTCTATACGTTAGTCTCTAAATATCATACTTTCACTCTACACGTGTTAAGCTAGATCGTATAAATACATGGAAGCAGTTCGAAAAAAAAAAGCTTTTGTAACAGATCATATTCTGAATTTTATTTTTAAATTTTAAGTATGTTCTTTTAAATATATTTGTGAGCATAGCAATAATAATAATTACACGTGCGCTTATTTGGTTTGAAAAATGCGAGACTTAACATTTTGTAACATTTTTGACAAAACATGTATCACATGTTTTACTTGACGAATGTTAAATGGAATATAATTAAAAAAAATAATGAATAAATCTTAAAAATAATTGTTTTAATTGAATGAAATTATTTTTGGAAGAACAAGTTTTATAATTGTGTGCCTAATTTTTTTTATTCGATTTGGGAGAGATTCCACCCCCTCCCCCCGAATCATCAGTTAAAACATCTTACAGAAAGTGATGAGTAAAAAATCGAACAAGAGATCAAGAACTGAAATTTTTGTTTGAAATATTCTCGAAAGACTTATTTCAATCTTTCCCGTGGTTCAGAGGAAAAATTTCGCAGTCCGAGGAAATTGTTCTGTGCTGCTACTAACGTGCAAAAAAAGGGAAAAAAAAAGAAGAAAGGAATATCATTTTTTCCCCTTAACTAGCATAGCGAAATTAAGCTTGACGATTAAGTCTTGTCTGAGGAACAATTAAAGATAAAAGCATGACTTATTAATTTCAATAAAAATGTACCTAAATCCTTGTTGGTAATGAGCTGTATTGTTTTATTACCAAAATATCGTACTTGGAAATAAGTTCAACTATAGATGTTTTTTTTAATAATTTTTGTTATACTATAACAGTCGTAGAACAACCGACACAATTTTTGGGTTTACGAGTACTAAAGTTCAACTACGTAGTCGTGTTATTTTGATCCTCATTCAAAAGACAAGGGAACTCTTGGATCAAGTATTGGGAGTAATTTGCCTTCTTGGAAAACTTTTTAATGGAACTAACCCGCATTTGCGTTACATGGAGAGGAAGACCACGAGAACCGCCAACGGTCAGTTTGACGACAAGGGGACTCTAATCTAGGATGCGTACCTCTTTTTCTTATGAATTGCTGACCTCTGATTTACCTTTTCTTATGACTTGCTGACGTCAAATTAGAAAATCGTTTTAACTCTAGCACGTCAAGTTTTAAAGATAATGATACAGATAATGATAATGATTCCACCACAGAAGAACATTCTTTGCAGTTACAGTCCCTGGCCAAATTATTAGAGTCACTATAAGATTCCATGTAAAATCTTAACTATCCTGTGATACTACTTTACAGCTTTAATGTTTTTTACGAGACTGAAACCAGTTTGCACTTGTTTACGTTAGTGCACCAATGGGTTAACAATGGAATGCAATACGTTAAAAATAAATACAAATAGGAAGTATATAAAAAATCAATATTTTTACAAACACTTGAATTTAATGCTCAATTTTATTAAGTTTGTTAAACTCGAATTTAATGTTTTTTTTTCCCGATTTTTTTAACAGTACATAACACAATCATATAATAAGCTTAGTTTCATTATGATATGTAATGTATCAATCAACAATAACATCTTATTTTTAAGACTTTCTCAAAGGAATAATTTATGAAGGAGGAAAAGGAATAATTTATGAAAGGTTTAAGAATGTCAAAAGACATTAAGAAAACGTAAAAATTCCACAGTATTCCGAGCATTTTTAAAGAGAGTTTTTAAGAGCTATTTAACGCTAGATTGCCCGAGGAAGTCATTTTGACTGTTTTTCTTAATTTCAATTAGCAAAACAATAATGTATAAATAATAATGACACAATTTCTTAGAATTTTTTAAGACTTTTTGTACAAAATACACTTTATTTTTATTGTTAATATTTACTAATAAGCCGACCGGCCTGTGTAGAGGTTAGGGAACTGCCCTTGCATCAGAAAGGTTCTGGGTTCGAATCCCGGGCAAGGCATGTATGTTCTTTCCTTCTCTGTACTGTCTGTCCTCACTGTGGGAGCAACGTTGGCCCACCTAATGTGGTGTCTCAGAAAGAGAGGCCGACAAATCTGCCCTGTAAATGCCTGAATTGGGCATAATATAAAAAAAACACAACTACTTCCCCTTAGTAGGAATAACATTTACCATGATGCAATGCTAAATTCTATGCCACTATCCACATAAATCAATTATTAATCAAAAATCGAATATCAATTACTTTTCTTTATAATGCAATAAAATCTGGCGAGCAGCTATTTAAAGGATCAAACACTTCGTTTGTTTATTTGTGGCTTGAAGTTAGGCTCGCAGAAAATGCCGTTCATGGGTTAAATTTAGTAGGAATAACACAACCTGTGACGTAGGCTATAGTATACCCAATTGACGAAAAATGTTAGCACAGGTGGGCATTGGGAAAAAAGCTGTCTTATAGAAAAATTTACTAATAATTACGGGAAAAAAATATTTACTAATAACTTGTTATACAACTGCAAGTAATATAAAAAATTAATTTTAAACAAATTTATTTACACATTATTTATTCTTTAACAATGCAGTCATTTTGACTGCTTTTGGGCAATATAGGTATATACTAAGTTTCCGTCTTTCTAGTGTTAATAAAATTTTACTGTGGAAGACAGAAGAACCTTGTTACATCACTGGCCTACGGGGAAGATGTCTTGGCCCCCACTGCCTGAAAAAAACGTCTGTTATTTATTTTTGACATTGTTTTTTATTCTTTCTTTACTGATTAATCTGTATTTGATATGATTCTTCTATTTTGCAAAACATTTTTAGTTCGATTTAACATTAATTACCTTAATCAATTAAAAATCCATCCATTTCTACGCTTATACTATATTTATATAGTACCTAATTTCAAAGAATACCATTAGTATTTCATGCTAGAACTAACAGTAATAAGTCATAATTTTTTAATCGAGATCATATTTTGTATGACTTTTTTTCTATTTTAGATTTTTGTCTTTGAGATGGCTAAATTCTAAAGGAGATAGATGGAAGTAAAATCAGCCGTCCTCTAATATTTATTGCAGCGACATGAAGTCGGGCAGAGATGGTTTCAGAGCATGGGTGATAGCATTCGACAATTTCCTTATCAATTTCATTGTGGTGGGACTTGGGAGAATGTCGGGCATTCTGTACATCGCCTTCATGAAGATGTTCCATATAGATAGGCAAACAGCCTCCATGCCATTCAGTATACAACAAGCTGCTAGGACATTCTTTGGTAAGTTTTAAATAACATCTTCGAAAGCATTTTAATAAAATTATTACGTCATAAGTCACTAAATTTACTACGCAGAATAAGTTTTTAACTTACCACCATACACCTCGGATTTATTATGGAGGGTATAAATTTAAATCTCTTGTGTTCCATAAAATATTTTGGATTTAAAGCAATATATTTATGAGCAATCAATATGAATGTTGCAATCAAGAATTTTACCTTTAAATGAGCTTGAATAATATCTATGATTAGAATAAATATTGAACTAGCTTTAAATTTTTAAAATGTATCACTATAAAGGCATTAAAAATATCATTTTCAAGATTTTTTGGGCATGCTAAAATATCCTACTTGGAAATAAGTTCAACTATAAATAGGGTTTTTTTTACGACCCAATTGCTTTTGGGTTTACGGCTACTCATGTTCAACTTTGTAGACTTGTCATTTGGAACCCGATTCCAGAAGACAAGGGAACTCTTGGATCAAGTAGTAGGAGAAATTTTGGAGGACTTTTTGATGGAACTTACCTGTATTTGCGTTACATGGAGACGACGAGAACCGGTTAGCCTGACGGCAAGGGACTCTACCCCATGATTCATCTACCACTGATGATATTTTACTGTGGTCGATGCTAGCCGGTTGCGGAATTCGTATCTACCAACCATCGCTGGGGTTCGAACCCGGGTATCCTCATTGGAATGCAAACGCTCCATAGATAACGCTGGAATTCAAACACTCTTATATAATACATCTAGCATGAAAGACATATGTGCACGAATTAAAGAAAGAGAAGTAAATATTTTCGACTAGGCGATGTCACTGTCCTATGAAAAATAAAATTATTACGTATTTTTAAAATATTTGATCATTAATTTTTATACATTTAAAAACTTTAATTCTTTTAAACACTGAGTGAAATTGGAAATTTTTACCTGCATATAAATGTGCAGAAATAAATATATGTATTGTGACTTATTTTTTTCGTCCAGAGCAGAGGTCGCCAAAGGGGTCTATTTAACTAAAGCGGGGGTCGATCTGAGACAGGGGGGCGAATGGGGGTCGATCCGAATCGGAAGGGTTGATTGTGGGTCGAAAAAAAAAACAGTTCTCAATACGCGAATCACACATACCTAATTATGTAAAATTTGTGATTTTTTTTTATAATTGACTCAATATCAGTTTCTTTATAAAACATAAATTAATAAACGTATATTTATTGGGGTTAAACATATATTTACTTACCACCGCGCAGTGGCACGAACTCAGCGCAGTTTATTAGTCATATGCATATGTGCGCTTGTCCAAATGTCACGTGTGGCGAGCATTGACGTTACAAATGCAAATATCATACGCAGTTTCAGCCATCTTTGCAAACTGTGTTGAATATTTGCAGTGTCATTATTAAAACTTTTATAGTTTTGGATAATTAATTATTGTTTCGATAAAACCATTCGCGTAGTTTAGATATCAATTTTAATTATCAATGCATGTAAAAAAAGAAGGTAAGCATTAATAATATGGATTAGTACAGCCCGCGACAAAACTATAGCACACTTTGTATTTTTTTACGAAAATTACAAAATTGACCAATTTTGACGAAAATAAAAATTGACCCATTTTGAACCCAATATAGCGAACCTTGCAAAAAAATCAATGCAATTGATCAAGAAGCAGTAAATATTTAGTTACTTTACTTATTATATCTACTTATGCATAATTACTTATTATTTAATAATAAGGTATTTAAATTTCAACATTAATATATTTTTCATGAAACTATTGTTACACAATGTACTATTACTTTAATAAATGTTTAAAATCATAAAATAAATGCACAAACACAGTATCTAATAGAGTTTTATTTTAATTAACAGAAAATTAATTTTGTAGGGGTCGGTGGAGATTTCGAAAAATTATATAGGGGTCGATGATCAAAAAAGTTTGGCGACCCCTGGTCTAGAGTAATATTAGAAGAAATTCTGTAAATACATCATCACGTTTAGCTCTTGATCAGTTTACCGAACATGGTCTTATATTATGAATTACCTTCAAAGATTTACATGTATCGATAGAAAGTTTTGATGCTACAAAGCAATATAGTATGATTTAAATGTCTTGATTTTAGACCTGCCTTGTTTTTAAAAATTAGTTTGCAAAATAATTTTAGCAAACTTTTGAAGATAAATAACTTAAATTCTCTTTTTATTAAACTTTTCTTTTTTTCGGTGAAACATAAAAAAAACTAATACATTAGAAGAAAAAAAATTGTGACGTAACTACCACTATTGATTATGTTCCCATATTGGGGATCTCCTGACGCGATATGAAACTCTTCTTCAACATCGATGAATGACAGGCCCTTAGCCAGGGGGGGGGGAACGTCGGGACAAATCCCCCCCCCCCCNAAAACCCCCCCCCCCCCGAAATTCTGGAATTCAAAACTTTTTAGTCTTTCTTTGAGCCTCTCGGTAAAAAGAAAAAGAAAAACTGTCTTTCTTTGAGCCTCTCGGTAAAAAGAAAAACTGTCGAATCAAATCTTTTCCCAGTACACCACCTTCGCTAGTGCATCATCTTCACTTGACCTTGTGGCTCATCTTTCCTTCGGTTAGACTCCTCCCTCGAAATCAATTGTTTCTCAGCATATATTAATTTATGCAATTTCAGAATCTACGCAGATTTCATTGACATCGAAAATCTCATGGGAGAAATGGAAGTACAGTAGAGTCCCGATTATCCGAGTTTCCGCTTTAACCTAGCTATCAAATTTTTCAAGGATTTTTTTTGTTCTAGTTTATTTTTAAAAAAACAGCTGAAAAATAAATCTGAATTTTATCTTCCAAACACTCAGAAAAACTGTCTGAGGAAATTATCGTTTATATCTTCAATAATGATAATGAATCTAGCGAAGATGATGAAGACAGTGATTATTAAAATCAACATATAAAAATCTCTCATACAGATGGACTAAAAGCTATCGAATGTACTATTGAATATATAGAACAACAAAAAGTGGCGACACCAGCCTTCCTGTTATCCCTAAAAAAGGCGAAACATTACTACAGAAAAGCGCCAAAGTTACGTAGAACGAAAAACGATTTAGGACTTTTTTTAAGTAAAAACTATTTAATTCTCGTAAAGTATGCTTTTTAAATGTTTTTAAGTAAGCTTTTTAATTATAATATGAATTGTATGTGGTATACATTTTGTATTTCTTAAATATATTACATTTATATCTTCTCTTTTTCTTTCCGTTTTTATACTCTTCGCTTTAACCGAGTTTTTCAGTTATCCGAGTTTGTTGCGGTCCCCATTAACTCGGATAATCGGGACTCTACTGTATAGGCATCAAAGTGGAACTTGCGTGAACCTCTTAGTAGACCAGATACGGCACTTTCAGCAATGGAAGAATGCGACAGTATCTTTTTTCTCAAACATTTATTGCTTGTTATCAATATTGGCTACGTTGCCAATCACCACGGCAACTGCAGAAAGAACTTTTTCTACTCTTAAACGCGTTAAGACAGCAACAAGAAAAGCTACTAAAGAAGAAAGGCTAACAGGGCTAACTTTATTAAGCATATTTCGGGATATTCCGGTTTGTCCTAAAAAATTAATCGAAAAATTTTCTTCAATTCCCTGTCGCATGTCTTTGCAAACTTTGCTTACAAATTGATTATAATTATTATGTAATATTAATTGAAAAATAATTATTATGCAATATTTTTTAATTACTAGTTTAACTTTTGCAAACAACAGAATAAACAATATTTATTACAATGTTTTTCCCCTACTTTGCATGTCAGAAACTGTCCTTGCTTCTTACCATATCCCCTCCCCCCCGAAAAATATCATGTCTACGGCCTTGATGCATGGCCCACAATGACCAGTCGATTGGTTCCCAAAATAGAGCTCAAAAATCCGGTGAAGTAAATACAATTCTCCCGACCAGTAAATAAATGAATAAATAAAAATATGCCGGGGAAAATAGTAATTAAATAAATAAAAAGCTTTAATCAGCTAGTGGCATCGAATTCTATCTCAAATAAAATTCTAGAAGGGGAGTCATGTGGCATAACTACCACTAAGATTATATTCCCTTATTCTTGGCACATATTCTGCTCTAGTGGTTATATCGTTTCTTTCGGTGTCTTCAGTCACGGGAAGGGGAGGCGGATACTCTGTGGCATATAAAATCCAGGGCTAAGGAGAATAGAAGGGCTAGTTCACTCCGCTCTTAGAGCTGAAGCTACGATTTCCCTCCTCATGACGTCACTGAGTCCACAGATTTCGGAAGATCGCACGCAAAGATATTATGATAACTTTGCATCTTTCTCTTTGTAAAAATAAGTTAAACTTTTCTGGTTATTAGCTTTCAAACTTAACGTAATTGACACATTATTTCCGTTCATAAACTTAGTTCAAAAAAACTTTCTCGGCCATTATATTAAAAAAAATACCATTTCAAACTTATAAAAATGTTTTACTAGTTGGCGAAAATGACACTATAAATACTTTATTTTAAAAAGTTCAGTTTTAACTTTAATTATTAAGAAAAATGAAAGCATATATCGACACTTTTTTTATCTACATATTCTTTTATAAAGATAAGTTAAGTTAAATTTAGAATCCCTGATTTTAAAATATGTCGTTAATAGCAATTTGTTCATACTTAATCATTAGGAAACATCAACCTTAAACGCTAATTACTGAAACAAAATAATAATTTAGGTTCATAATGACATCAGAAATTTTACAATTGTTTATAGACATTTAAATTTACGATGATATAATATATAGATATTTAAATTGAAGAGAATATAATTTTTAAAAAAAATCATAAATATTTAGAATAACTACATTAAAAAATATGTTATGAAATTAGGAGAATTTCAACTATATACTATATATTTTATTTATACTTTTTACTTACATTTTAATTTTCTTTGACTTTATCTATTTTTTAATTCTTTTCACCTGCCTTTCTTTATGAAGTAACGAGGCGGTTTCTATTTAGATAATGAATTTTTATAAAAGTTCTTTACGACAGAATAAACGTATTGCTGTTTTATATTAACTGTGTCATTTCGGAATCCATTCTTTACATAGTTGTTCATTTACTTTAGGGAACACGCGAAAAATTATACTTTTTCCTTTTGTTTTTATATCAGAATTTTTTCAAGTTGCAATCGCGCAAACTGGCATTTCGATAATAGTTTTAAATTCTTGTAAATTCACTGCAAAAACTGAGGAAAGTCATTATAGAAAATAACAAATGTCTTAGAATATCTCGCAAAAAGAAATGCTCCAATATTAGTTAGAGCTAGTAAGGCCGAACGCTCCGTTCTTGAAGTAAAAGTGCGAGCTTTGCGCCAAAGTGACGTCACTAGAGAAAATCGAGAACTACTTCAAAGGAGTGAACCAGCCCTTTTATTCTCTTTAGCCCTGTATAAAATCATCGCTAAGCGGACATAATAAATAATGCAACCCTAGAGCAGAACGTCTTTTGCAAGTGTGCCCGTAATCGAACGTTTAAAAAAAAAAAATTTCAAGCAACAATATGATGCTTTTCTTTTTTAGAACAAAATGCTCGTTTGACTAAATCTTTGGACTATCTAATATGGGATAATTCCATACCATCAACTGCCGCTATAAGTACAAAGTTGTACTTTATATTAATAAAACCTTCTAAGCAACGAGTGTGATCTCATATTTTCTAAACCACCTCATAATAATATATCTTCCCTTTGAATCTAAGTTCTTGAAAACAAATGGATACCCTATTTTAAATCAAAAAATGTAAAAATCAGTCATTACATTGAAACTATGTGTCCATCACTTAAATTTTGCAGGATTAAATATAACTTAATTGCAAATTATAAATAAATTATATACTTAATGTAATTAATATATTAAATTTCCAATAATTTAATTGTGATTGCATTAATAAGGCACAAAAAATAATAACTAAAGCTGGCTTTTCACATTAGTAGTCAGAATTGCTTTTTATTACAAAGAATGTAAATTATCTAAGTATTTATTACTTATAACCTAATATTATTAAATGATCCAATTTTCATATTTAGTCTACTTTCTTTTACATCGAGTTATCTAAATGTCGTGACACAAATTCAAATGGGTAAATATTAATCGGGGATAGTATTTATCGACAATGTCAACATTCATCTATGAAAAGGTACCCCAACACAGAATCGAGTTAACATGTCTTATATACTAGTGAACTGGAATTGTATTTTTGTAGTGGTAGACACATTACAGCACCACCAGAATCATAGCCGCGATAGAATTCGATGAATGGGATACCACTAGTTGATTCATTGCTGATTTGGGAAAAGTCGGGAGAGCTGTATTAAGATCACCGTACTTTTGAGTGCTGTATTAAGTCCGCGGTCACCCCTGTGTTGCCTTCAGCAGTCGAGTGTATACGCTGTGTGTGATCGGGACTGAGTAGCAACAGCGTGAGGAGGTGGATAATGTCGCAATCACAAATAGCAATTTAACCGTTGAATGTGGATCATCCACTGAAGTAGGTGTTTTCAAATCGAAGTGGGGGGGGTCTTTGTAAAGGGAGGCGTGTTCCCTCACCAATAGTAATTATCGACAATGTCAGCATTCAACTATGAAAAGGTGCCCCAACGTAGAATCGAGTCTTAGCGAACTCAAATCGTATGTTTGTGGTGGTGGACACACTACATGAATAAATGGAATCCTTAGTATTATTATATGAAATGAATTGATGTTTTAGGACCACTTGCTGGAATCTTGGGTCAAAAGTATGGAATTCGATGTGTCACAATCATCGGAGGAATAATCGGGACGATAAGTGCCATATCCTGCTATTTCGTCATGGATATTACTTGGATCACAGTTCTCTGGGGATTAATGTTTGGTAAGACATCATTCCAATTAAATCAATTATTTCCACCATTTTCACAAGAATGACCATTTTCACATACCTTGAACTACCATTGTGGTCTTTTTGACCATAATTAAAAAATAAAAAAATAAAAAAAGGAAGAAAAAAGGAAAAAAAAACGAGAACAAATATTTGAGTTTTAATTCAGATATCATTATAAAAAATTGCGTTAGGATTATTTTTATTTATTTCATTATTCTGCTTAATTTAAATGGATTTTTTTTTAATTTATGAAAAAAATTATCTTTACTTATAAAAGTAATTTACTTATCAAAGTAAGTTGGTTATAGTTTTTTTGACCTATGAAAAAATTATCTTTTTTTCTTAAAGTAAATATCATCATAAAAAAGTTGCATACCATATTTTTTCATCAATGAAAAAAATTATATTTATAAAAGTAATATCATGATAAAAAAGTTGTATATAATTTTTTTATCTATGAAAAAAATTATCTTTATTTATAAAAGTATTATCATCATAGAAAAGTTGTATAACACTGTAAATATTAACTCATTATTTGAAATAAAAGTAATGAATAAAAAATTCTTAACATTTTCCACAAAAATGTTTCATTCGGGAACAATTCTGACTTGTTTTGGCAGAAAGAGAATTGGCTGCGTTCATTTCTTCGTAGTTTCTGGAAAGTTAAGTTTCTTCGATGAACAATATGACCCATTCAAAGACAAAGCTCTAAATAAAAGAAATTTGCGGAAAGTTATGAACTTTAATTTTTATTTTCGGAAGGGAATTCATATTCTAGAAACCGTTCGTGTCGTATGCAATCAGCGGATGGAATACATCTACGGGTTTTAAACCGGTTATCTTTACGGTAACTCCATTCGAGTTATAAACTCTTTCTTAGTTAGGTATAGTATTCAAGATGCAGATGAGCTCTTTATATTTGTATTAGTTTTTTTTGTCAATTACTAAATTATTTTTATGCGTGGTATTTGTAGATTTGCCAATTGATGGGAATTATCTACCATTCAGCCAAATTGTAGCAACAACTGAAAATCCTCTTGCATCGGACAACCGAAAATCCTTTTTGAGAAAAACGTCCGTTTTGACTTTTTAAGGACACGGATGAATTAGTTTCAAAGTGGTCAAACTGATGCTTCTGTCTTTATTTGTTCCCAGAAAAATCTAACTCTTCCATCGAAATATTGTTCCATAGCAAGGCAGAATTTTAAGATTATTTCTCGCGTATTGAATGCATTTTTAACTTGATTTGCACGGCGGAATGTGTTTATTGAATTTCATAGATCTATCCTGCTTTAAGATAGAAATTGGGATTTTCCTCAAATCCTTATCATTTCTCGAGTTTAAGAGCAAATGTGTCATTGATCGCAAGCTCATCAATCGACGCCATGGAAGTTTGCCGGTCATTGGCGAACAATAATGAGCAGAAGATAGATGGTGAAAAACAATAATAAAACGAGTAAATAGTGTCGATCTAGTCCGGCACGTGAAGTTGAAAGAATGTGTTATTAGAAATAATTTCTAATCTCTGTAGCAATCATTTTGCTCGTTGTTGTTGCTTAGGCAGAACTTCGATTTATGCACTTAGAATACAGTGAACCTTCAAGGGATCGAAATTTCGGTTCACTATAACCGGGAGTTCACTATATACAAACAATTTTAACTCATTTTTCCGAACTGCTCCCTAAACTGAGATGGAAGAAACAAACAAGAAAGAATGCTTATGACTCTACTCCACTCGATAGATGGTTTTAAAAATCGGTATATGTATTTTATGTAAAAATTTCAAAATGACCAAAAAATAAAGAAAAAAAATCAGTCAAAAACAGAAAAAAATTTCATAATATCCACTTTCCTTTCTTCCTTTGGTTTAACTATATCTACAAAAAATATTATATGTGTATATCTACAAAAAATATTATATGTGCACGGGAGGAGCGAACATTTCGTTCACTATACCCGGTAGTTTGCTATAAACCGTCCACTATAACGGGGTTTGAATGCAAAGCATAAAACTTTTATTAAATGCTTAAGAAAAGTCATGAAAAAGAAGTAAGCTAGTATAATTATTTTAGAACTTATTGCTAAAGTTATCTTTCGTCTTCCTTACGTTAAAATGTTTCATATTAATTGCTGCGAAATTCCATTTTATACAAACGCCGGCTGGAACACAGACAGCATTCAGACTAAACGAAATATCTAAAATTTTGCTTTCTTTTCTAAATGTAGCATCTTATTAAAAGTAAATTAATAAATTTTAAGAAAAGTTAATGTTTAATACCCCCGTAAAGTACAAAAAAGCGCACGCTGTGATAACTTTAGATCTAATGATCGTATTTTCACGTACTAGCACTTAACTTTAAGGGTTATAGTGCCTAACCTTAAATATGCTAACTAAAATGATTTGATATTTTGATACCTACTACTCCCTCCCCTCGTAGCACTCTCAGCAGGTGACTAAGTATCGTCCTATTTTAAACCAAAACACACTGCATTAAACTGTAAGACTTTTAAGGCTACTTTTCCTGGAAAATCCAACTTTGCCATAAAAATAGAGGTTTCTAAAAGATAAACATGGTAATGTTGCCCCAAGTTTTTGTTTGTAGTGGAGAAAACTTTAAGAATTTGATCTTGGTACGATTTAATGCATTCTTTTAAAGCTATGTAATGAATAACAACAGACATTTTCCATGAGAGTGTCAAGAGCATCTTGACGAAAGTCCATACAAAATTACTATCACCGGTACAATAGAAAAAACACTTGCATGGCAAGCAATCCTAAAAATATATGTTATGTTTGTATATGCATGCTTAATTTATTTCATTATTTTTATCAGGTATTTGTACAGCGCTGACCACTACCCTAAACCAAGTACCCATAGATCAATATTTTGACAAGTACAAGACAACCGCAGGCGGATTTGCGTTTTCTGGTGGATGTGTGGCGGCTTTTATTTTTCCTCTCATACTCGAACACCTCATCAGATCATACGGAATGGCTCGAACTTTTCTCGTTTTGGGTGCTTTCATATTCCTCGTGATTCCTGCCGCATGCTTGCTCGTCGAACCACCCTGGATCAAGAAGAAGAAAGCAAACACCGAAGAAGAAACACTGATTAGCAATCGCACCTCTTACAATACATTTTCCGAATCGAAAGAGACAATAGACTTTGACTATTTAAAGAAAGAGAGTGAAATAGTATTCCACCTCTTCATTCTGATGATGGAGGACTCGGAATTTTTTTCCGGTTCCGTTTCGACCATTTTGGGAAATTTCACGAACTCCCTACCCTTAGTGAAAGAGTTGGAAGATCTGCAAAATTATCTCCAAAATAAGTCTCCCAAATCGGAAACAACCAGTCGATCGCAAGAGACCTACAAGACGTACGAGGACAATCCTCGGTGGCATTTCCTAGCCGATAAACTGCAGCAGTTGTCTGAAAAAAACCACAAGGCATTGCTTTTATATTTTCCAGAAACATCACACGACGAAGTGGCGAAAGTGATAGGAATGTTGAAAACATTGAATAACGGTTTATCGAAACCGAAATTTCTCGAGGAACTGACGGAGTTTCGTCGACGATTGCAGGAAGAAAAAATGGCGAAACAATCCAACTCTTTCATTCATCACATAAAGACGGCTGTTAAACTCCACGCAAATCCCATCTTTTTGTTGATTTGTTTGTCACGGGGCGTTTTCATGCTGACCTTCATTCCCCTGGTGACCATCATAGTGGACTTTGCCATGGACCAAGGCTTGAAACAGAGTACTGGGAAATATCTTATCCCGGTTTTATCTTTAGGGGATTTATTGGGCAGATTGTGCCTCGGATGGATTAATGACAGCGGTCTTCTCAGCCTTCCGAAATTCATGCTCGCGGTGATGCTTCTTCTGGCATGCAGCACGGCCACTCTACCCCTCATGCACTCCGAAGTAGGCATCATTCCGGCCATCTTGATTTTTGGTATGCTGGAAGGATCCCTCTTCATTCGACACCAAATCTTAGTTTCGATGTATATGGAAGAACAAGAACAGGCCATAGGAATGGGATTCATTAATTTCCTGTCTGGATTCATTGGATTTGCTCTTCCATTTTACATAGGTACTACTTTTCTTCATCTTCCTTATCCTATGTACCACTCTTAAATTACTTTTGATATAATGATCGGATCTTCACCGGTGATCTCAAAGGATGAGTGCAGACAATGTTTTTTAAATTGCGGAAAATCAGACACAAAAATGTACTTTCTTTGAATAAATATACCTTTTTTTCAACAGATTCGGATTCTTATTCTCAAAATATAGAGGATAGCCGCCATTTGGTAAATAGGGTCCCATTAGGTTGTCCAGGAGAGCAGTCCAAAGTTTGAACCCCTCAATTTTTTCTTTTTGTGTGTTTCATCATATCTCGAGAACTTTTTTTTAAGCGAATTGAAAACTTTTGCACACAATTATAAAATTTGCCTATCCAAAGATAATTTCATATAAAATATAATTTTTGCTAAGTATTTATTATTTTATTGAATGATAATCGAAAAAATTTTGAATTGCAAGGTATACAAATTTTTACATCATTTTAAAGAATGCAATTATAAATGACAAAATGGAAAAATTTGAGCGAAATCGATCGAATATTTCCTGAGAAATCAGGTTTTGAAAAGGCAATTTTTTAAAATTTGATTTTTCAGGAGCTAGACGATTGATTTCACTCAAATTTTCTATTTTTCCATTTAAAATTGCAGTAAAAAATTGAATAACCTTACTATTTACAATTTTCTCGATTATCATTCAATAAAATAATAAAAAATAATAAATTCAAAGTTTAAAATAAGAGTTGATTTTATATACGTAGAAATGTTTTTGGAAAAAAAGACTTTTACAATTTACTTAAAAAGATCTCGAGGAATGGAGAAGTACGCAAAAAGAAAAGTTAACAATAAGGGGACCAAACTATTTGCACCCTATTTCCCATATTGCGACTACCCCCTATATCTCAAGGATCTGTCAAAAATAAAAACGAGGTGTGTTTATTCAGAGAAGTATATTTTTCGTGTTATTTCGCAACTCAAACTAAATCCTGAACAAATTAATTGATATATTTGAGATCAACCTTTCTCTCAAACTCTTATGATTGAGTCCTAGCACATCCAATCATTAGATCAAAAATTATTTAGGAGAGATCCACTGTACACATGCTTGTATCAGAAAACTTTTTGTTCTTAGAAATCTCTCCATATATATATATATATATATATGTTACGCTTTGAAAGCCTAAACATTGTAAGTTCGTAGTGTGGCCGGTGCTTCTTGAAAAAGATACAATCATAATATAATTTTATTAAAGTGAGGGCCAGAGCCCCAGAATGACAACCTTACATGCTGGTGGATAGGTAGAGAAAAGCACATTTGACCTTGGAAAGAGGGTTTTTATATCTTTCTGGACAATATATTTAAATGTTAATAGGTCTGAGTAGCGTGGGACTGATCAATTTCCCAAGCTGCTAAAGCCACATCATCACATTTTTTGAGATAATTAGATCAATATTATTACTTTCTTGTGGGAAAGGTTTTTAAACGTTTGCTCGGTAGATAAATGCTCTATTTAAGGATTATATTTAATATATAATTGTTTTAACATTACACACATATATATATATATATATATATATATATATATACAGTCCTTGGCTAAATTATGAGACGCATCATAAGATTCTATGTAAAATCTTAATTACTCAGGAGATACTATACAGCTTTATTGTTTTTACTCGGCTGTTTGAACTTGTTTACGTTCGTGAATCAATTGGTTAAAAGAGACGATATATAATATAAATTTGACGATAGGATAAATGAGACGATGTATAATATAAATAGAGACTATTTATTATATCAGGCATTATATTAGTATATTATAATAATTAGACCCAATTATGAGACCCGCTGTAGTGTTTTAATACTTACATGTGTTACACGAGTTTATAGGCAATGCTTTTATAGTTAAACACGTATGTCATGGGTTTTTATTCAAGAGATTTTTTATATAGACTTCCTATTTGTATTTATTTTTAACGTATTGCATGACAATGTTAACCCCACTTGATACAGGAGCATCAACAAATGCATCCGAGTAAAAGCAATAAAGCTGTATAGAGTATCACCTGATAATTATAATTTTACATAGAATCTTAAGAGTGCGTCTAATAATAGGGCCATGGACTGTATATACGAGGGGGGCTATTTATATTTCTGGCCTAATAATGAAAAACAAACAGGTAGGAACGAAATTGGTTTTATTGTTTATCAAAATATTCTCCATCATGATCAATACACTTTTGCATGCGTCTCAACCAATTTTCAAAGCACTTTTTCCAGTCCGATTGCTCCAAAACATGCAATTTGAATGCATCAACCGCTTCTTCGGGGGTCGAAAATCGTTGTCCACGTAATTTATTTTTGATGTGTGGAAATAAGAAGAAGTCATTGGGTGCCAAATCAGGGCTGTACGGCGGATGACCCATCAGTTCGATCTTTCGCTCCGTCAGAAATGCCTTTGTTTGAGTCGATGTGTGAGAGCTCGCATTGTCATGATGAAGAATGATTCGCCTGTTCTTCTGCTTTTTTCGAATTTCTCCGATGACTTCTGGCAAACAAATGGTCGTGTACCATTCAGAATTGACCGTCCTGCGTTGCTCTAACGCCACTGTTGCCACATGACCGTTAATGCCGAAGAAACAGGCAATCATTTGTTTCGATGTGCTTCTTCCTCGAACAACTTTTGTTGGTTTTGCCTCGTCTTGGAAGACCCATACAGTTGATTGCTGTTTTGTTTCCGGCTCATATGCATAGATCCATGATTCGTCACCTGTGTAGATGTTATACACAGCCTTTGATGTACCTTGAACGTATTTTTCCAACATTTCCTTGCACCAATCGACACGAGCCTTTTTTTGAGCGTTTGTCAGATTATGCGGGATCCAACGCGAACAAATTTTTTTTACGCTCAAATGTTCATGCAATATTTTATTGATGCTAGTCATACTAATGTCCAAAGACGCCTCTATCTCACGGTATGTCACATGACGATCTTGCTTTATCAGTTCACGCACAGCATCGATCTTTTCTGGCACAACAACGGATTTTGGACGACCTGCACGGGATTCGTCCTGGATCGAACATCGACCACGATTAAATTCGTTATACCAATTTTTTACAGTGCTGTAGGATGGCGCTTTATCGCTGAATAAAGAATTAAGTTCATCGAAGCACTCTTGTCTCGACAATCCACGTCGAAAGTTATGAAAAATAATGGCACGAAAATGTTCACGATTCAATTTCATTTTTTGAAAGAGAAGAACTTTTCAATTTACTGTCAACAACACGAATGAAGCTATAATGGTAAATCGTCTACTGAATTTATGTTTAAAAATATCAAACTTTCGATTAAAATCGTCTGCGGTCGCCTAGCAACACTTACTGTGGATAGTGGCAATAAAGATTTTGCAATAAATAATTTAATATCCCTCATGGCTGCATTTGGTGAAATATAAATGGCAATTCGAGAACAGAAAACCTAACAATCAATTGATATTCACAAGAGACGTACCTTGACATAACCTTAAATCCGTCGCATTGTCCGTGGGATTGTTTTCACTCATTTTTTACAATTGTTATCCACTAAAGGGTAGACTATACTTGAGGGTGCCCCAGCCAAGTTGTGATCGCGATTGATCGCCAAGCTAGGCGATGTTGAAAACCAATCGTGATTCTGATTGGCTTAGATTTTAATCGTGATTCTGATTAGTTTAGAATTTAGCGTTGTTTTTACATGAATTTTTAAATGTAGTTTCAAAGATCCGTTGGTTCTACTTTGGATACCGGCTGGTAAGGTTATTTTTGCTTCTGGTACTAAAAATGAATACTGTCAATAAGATAAATCTTAAGTTTCTGTACGAATTTAATAACAATGAAAAAAAAACAGTGATTGACTGGTGTATAATTGAAGGTTTACTTAGTAAAAGATATAAATGTCCTGTTTGTGGGTTACCACGGCGTTACGGGCAAACAAGTATGGCGCCAAACATAAGTCGCCAATTTCGCCAAGGGGCACCCTCAAGTATATTTTCCCCCCACTAAATTTGAAAATGAAAAAATACTATCCTATAAAATTATATGTGTATCAAAACAAACTAAAAAAATATTTATAGAAAAATCAATACTCTTATTATTTTTATGCTAGTGAGAACCAAAACAATATGGAAATGAATGAGGGAGAACTGGATCCTACCACGTGATTTCTCGGCCAATAAAAACGTAGCGTTAAACGTTTAACGCAACCTTGTTGGAAGTCGCATAAGAAGTATCACTTCAAAAAAACTAAAAAAAATCAAAATATTTTTTTTTATATTTTATTAATAAATACAAGGAACTAAAACAGAACATGTTGTACAAGCTATAACATGAAATTTTAATTCTTTTTTATGTGTAAGAAACATTTATTTTAAAATCAGTTTAATGTCCCGTGTTATCTCGGGAAAATGAAATAAGTTAGATATCATCAGTCTCTGTAGGATTTGTTCTTAAAACAATGGGACAATACTTTTCAAAAGTCAGTGAAGAAATACGACATTTTTTTTTACTCTTACTGCTGTGTCTATTCAGCAACCATCGTATATACCAGTGGCTTCCAACTGGCGGCGAACTAAAATATAATAGTTCAACGGTGCAAAAATATTTATTTCTCAGGTTTTGCATCCAAGAAAATATTTATTCAAATACAAAAATAATCGTGTATGTTGCTCTTTTTATATAATTTAGCATGTGTGTATCAGAAATTTTCTCGAAGAAATTCTTCGATTTAACTTTCAGAAACCACTCATCTTGGACGAAAATATTTACATACACATTTGTAAATTTTAAATTTAAAATGTAACTATCTATTCTCTGGTGGTTGCAGCAGACAAACCTCAATTTTCTCATTGAACATTTTGTGTGCTACTATGTAAGTTTTAATACCAACCTTTATACCAAGTTTCATATCTTAACAATTAGATATCTGTTGCGCATTAATTGTTTAATACATAGGTGCACATTAAAGTTATTGTAGCCCGAAATTCTTAATATGCAATTAAATATTTTTAAAAATCTGCTTCTTATTTTAACTTGTAATTCAATACGTTTATTTTGTACAACTTGATATAAAAATCTGACAGTAATATTTAATGTTCCTTCAAACATAAAAGAGTCCTTCATAAAATTTTCATAAAGTTGCGGCCCGCCATTTGATTTGTGTTTTTAATTGTGGCCCCCGTCCTCATGTAAGTTGGAAACCCCAGGTATATACAATCACACAATCCAACAGCAGAACTTCCAATCACAGCAGATTATGTTGTTTTTTTGCTTCCGACCGAGTAAACACGTGATAAAACAAAATGTACTGACGCATTCTGCTACGCCCTAGTTTTCTCGGTATAATAAATATTGTTAATATAATAACTCGAGTTAAGTTGTGAGGGAAGCTGCGGTTAATAATGAATTTATCTGTTTGCAGGTTATTTCAGAGATGTGCGTGGATCTTATGACGGAATGTTCTATCTGAATGGTGGTATATGTGCTTTCATCGGAGCCTTGTGGATTTTCGTTCCCTCCTCTTCTAGAAAATAATCATCTAATAAATATTTTAAAAGGTTGTTGACTGCAGTCCTTTTACTGACCCACACGTGAAACCTTGGCAGGGAGGGCAGCTAAATCTTTCAACAAAAAATAAGCACCTTTTAAAGTACTTTTAAAGCATCTAAAAATATTTTAAGCGATATACAGGGTGATTCTAAAAAGATGGACAAAATTTTAGGAGGTGATAGTACACACCCAAGCAAACAATTTTTATCAAAGAATGCGTGGTCGAAAACAAAACGACTTTCATTGTGTATAATAGAGATTTAAATTATCTATAGAGATAGCAATATTAAAAAATTTCGATAATTACAGCTACAAAAGTGACATTTTCATAATCTATATCTACTGTTATCAGTGATATTCTCTTATTTGATGCACTTTTGTATTGCAATACATTGTAATAATATTAGTGTTCACAGATTTTTCAATTTAACTGCTTTCTTACTTTCACATTTGTCAATATTTCCAGAGTTAGATAGCGCACAAGACTCAAATGCATTTTAGAGTATGCATCCGCCATAAATTAAATGCAGAATTTGTCAAAAAGTCCACACAAAAAAGGCACGATATGCCAAACAAAGTCTTTTAGTATTTGCTGTAAAGAGTGAACGCTTAATACAAGGTTAGTTTCAAACTTTTTTGGATGGCTGTATTGAAAGAGTAGTTCGATTCGAATGCATAAGGGATCGTATAAATATATTACAAAAGCAAAATAGGAGAGGTTTGAGATTATTTATGCTGACAAGAGTGAGAATTATGATCAAAGCTTACACATTCAAACGGCATTTTCAAAACTTCTTGAAAAAACTGAAAAATTTGTATTTTAAACTATTTCTTAAATTAACTTTATTTCAAATTTAAAGAATTGGATAAAACTACTAAGAGTTTCAGAAGTGAAGAGATTGAAGGTAAGCACAAAATTCCTGAAGAATATTAGACTAGAGAATTTGTAAAGAGTTGAACGCTTTTGTAAACTTCCACATTTATTTTAAACTGATTTTTACCGAAATATTTCAGTTATAATTTTCAAAACAAATCTTAATTTTTTTCATTACGAGTTTCTTTGGTTAGTAGTATAAGTGCGATTCTTTTTCTGACAAGAGAGGAAAGTCCAAAATTCCCAAAACAAGCTTACGTAATATTTGTTTACCCTCGCCCCCCCCCTAAAGAAGCTAAATCTGGTAAGAAGTTATATTGAGTAATGAACACTAAAAATAATTCAAAATTACAAATTTATTCAAGATATTTACAGGAGTAGTTTAACATTTAATAAAACAATGCATTTGTACAAGAGATAGTTTAATGTTTGCTTAAAATAATTTCGTACGATTACAACACAGATTCCAAAAATTTCTAGAACAATTTATTCCATTTTCAGATGTCCAGGTGCAAATCTTGCGAACTACAGCAGTTGAAAGTATGTTAATTTTATTAGCCATATCTGTATTCTTTAAATATTTATTACTTTAATTATTCAAATCAGAAATCTGTTTACATGCTTCTTAAAAACCTTGTTTTTAGGCAGCAGTTTGAAGGTTCTCTTACAATAGCAGAAGTATACATAGTTCATTTCAAAATTGGTAATTCAATGAAACAGTGCATATAAGTATGGAAGCAAAGTCTCAATAAACTAATATAATTCACAATTTTCGTAATAAACGAATTAATTAAACAGCTTTCAAACAATTTTAAAAGTTAAAAATTTAAA